CAAAATCTACCTCAACTTGATTACAAATACATATTTGTGATTCATCTCTTGCCTCCTATGGAGTATACAACTCAAAATCTTGGCTGAAAGTTTAAAAAAAAAACAAAACCCTTCCCTAGACTTAGAAGCCAAGATGCTATCTTGATATTATACTTTTGGACTTGTCTCTCCCTTTCTTCGTGGTCTACAACAGGGCTTGGCGAACTACAGCCCACAGACCAGTTTGGCCTATAAGCTAAGAATGGTCTTTACATTTTTACGTGGTTGAAAAAAGTCCAAAGAATAATATTTCATGACACATGAAAATTGTATCAAATTCAAATTTCAATATCCATAGTTTTATTGGAACATAGCCACACTATTCATTTATGTATTATCTATGGCTGCTTTCATACTACAGTGACAAAACCGAGTAGCTATGACAGACTGTATAGCTCATAAAGCCTAAAACACTTACTATCTGGCTGTTTACAGAAAACATTTGTCAGCCCTAGTCTATACTCCTTGACTAGATCCAGAGTTCTCTTTTACTTCTCCCTGACTAAGCAGTCTTTTGATATCACCCCATGGCCTGCTTAGACACATGTGCTAAGTCTTACCTCCTCATTAGATTCCCAGTTCTGATCAAGTGATTTGCTCTGCCCTGCTGTCAGCCATGTCTACGCAGCATGACAATAGGAACAATGAATGCAAAGATGACATCTGCAAACAAGTGTCATCAATGACAGCCACCCAATTCCTTTATAAGATTTTCCAAAATTCAGTACAGAAAAGTGAGATAACTTGCCCAAGCTTGCAAGGCTAGTAAAAAACAGACATAGAGAGGATTCAAACCCAACAGTCAGGTTTCAGAGCCCCGGCTCTTAACTACTATACTATATGGTCTAAGTCGACATTGGGGTTATGTCTGCTTTTTAATTGACCCAGACAGGGAGGAATTATAAGCCACATTTTTACCGATTAGAAAAATGAAGGCAAAAAAAGATGAAGGTCCCAGATAAATTCACAGATAATATTCCAGTGGGGTGGTGATGGAGTGCTGAAATTTACAGACTGGGTCATCAGATATGTGAAACTGTAAATTCATTTCTCTGTATCTGAACCAAACTTGATAACAAGTCCCCATCTTTCCATTCCTGGGAGAAAAAATATGTCATTTCAAGATTGCTCCAGATATAAAATGTAGTAACCAAAGTTATTCAACTTTGTCATGAAGGACATACAAATTAAAACTACAAAGTGATACCACCACACACCCTACAGCATAATTAAAATGAAAAAAGTTAATACCAAATGTAGACGTGTAGCAACTAGAACTCTCATTCATTACTGGTAGAAGTGTAAATTGGTGTAACTACTTTGGAAAATTGCTTGGCAGCATGAGTGATGTGCTGAAGCTGGCTTGTACTGGCTTGCAGAAGCAACTATTAAATTTTTGGCAATTTTGTGAACCAATTGATTTCACATTGTAGCTTGCAATTGGACAGAATGGAAGTATTTACACATGGAAACTGGCAAACATTACAAATCAGCACCCACTCCAGCACACCACTGGGCAGAATATACCAAAGCCCTGCTTACACATATCTTATGACCCAGCAAATTCACTTCTGGGTATATACCCTATAGACACGTTCACCAAAAGCCATGTATAAAAATGTTCATAGCAGCACTAATTGTCATAGCTTTGAACTGAAAACCCAAATAATAAATTGCATCATGCTCATTCAATGGAATACTATGCAGTGATAAGAATGACATGTGACAACCCAGATGAATCTCACGAAATGTTGGGAAAGGAGACAAAACAAGAGTACTGTGTGATTCCACTTACACAAAGGTCAAAAGAGACAAAATTAATCTCTGGGGTCAGAAATTAGGGAAGTTGTTAATCAGCAGAACAAGGGGGACTGAGTCACTGCATTGTCCTTTATTTCAATCTAAGTGCTGACTACCTAATTGTGTTTACTTTGTGAAAATTTACCAGTAAAAAGTTCAATTTAAAAAAAGTCAGTCATTTCCATAATTGAACATCCATATGCAAAAAAAGAATTCAACTTAAACCTTACACCTTATGTGGAAACCGAAAATGGATAATAGATCTAAATAAAAAATATAAAGAAAAAGATAAATTAGATCTTATAAAAATTAGCAACTACTCTGCAAAATACACTGCTAAGAGAATGAAAAGACAAGCTACAGACAGACTGGGAGGAAATACTTGCAAATCATGTATATGACAAAGGAATTGTATCCACGAAGATATTTCCTGGTTTTGAGAATTTACTATAGTTATATAAAAGGTTACTGCTAGGGAAGCTGAGTGATGTGTACACAGGACCTACTATTCTTACAATTTCTTTTGAGTCCATAATTATTTCAAAACAAAAAGACTGATTTTTTAAAAAGGATACTGGGAGTTTTATCAACCAGACTGCTGATTTTTTGGTATCTCTGGTATTCTAAGTATATTCTAATACAATGATAGTCAGGGTATAACTGATGAAACTTTTCTAGAAAGCAATTTGGCTAAACCAATCAAAAGCTATTAGAATGCACAAACCCCTTTGACCAAGAAATTCCATTTCTAGGAGTTTCTCCTAAAGAAGTAATCAGATATATGCAAAAATCTGCAAATAGTGATGTAGTTTTGCACAGCTGTTTACAATAGCGAAAAGTTGAGTAAAACTTAAAAAACTGGACATAAGTGAGGAACTAGTTAATGTACTATGACACACCCAGAAGAAGAATGCAATGCAGCAATCAGAAATTAAGCCATAGAAGAATATTTTTATTGACATGGGAAAATGTTAACAATAAACTTCTATATGAAATATGTAGGATACAAAACAGTATATACAGTTTAATACTATTTTTGTGGAAAGAAAAATAGCCATATATACAAAATCATGCATAAGAAAAAATAATAAAAGGATGTACATACCAAATATTAACAATGTTTATCTCTGGACAGTGGAATTAGAGGTGATTATGTAATTTTCCCAGTAAATTTCCCCGCCCTCCAAACATCTTCTTCATGCCATTCTGTCTTGGTCGTTAATTAGTTTGATACAATTCTCTTCAAATAGGCTCTGTTTCATGATATAGACCTCCAAAGCATACTTTTGATGCAGCTACTGCTATTCCCATTTAAAAAGTAGATGCTACTCGTTCTTATATACTGGCATGTAGAGAATATTTTTAACCAATGTACTATAAAATATGCCGCAGCACAGATCTGGTTATAGAAAATTATTATTTAGAGAATTGTAAAATCCTCTAATTGAGAAAAATTTTAAACAGAGGGAAAAATACTATCATTGGAGTTTCCATTAACAGTAGAGTGTGAAATAACTCAGAGTTCAGAATTGAAGAATTCTGGATCTTTCCCTCTTACCAACTAACTGACTTTGGGTAAAAAATATTACGTTTTTTTTTAGTCAGTAAAATATGGTTAATAATCTGTAGAAAGAAGCAAAAATAAGTTTCTTACTGTTTCCTGCCCTCTTTCATAGGTTTGACATGCCAAAACTATGAGATTACCTTAATGTTGATCAATGGTTTTTAACTTTTTTAATTATTTTAACAGTTAATACATAGGACATACTTTTCATGGAACTGAGATTAGTGTTCCAAATATACAAAGTTCATTCTCTGATGACTCTGGATAACTCACAATATTAAATACAGTTATAATAAATATAATTTATAATTTATGTGTCAGAATCCATCCTAGTGTAAAGCTATTTACTAGATTCTCATTAAAAATAACAAGTAAG